AGAGAAACTTCTTAGTCTCATTTAAAAGACCAAGATCGTTAGTTGCCAGCAAAATATCATCAACATACAGAATCAATAATATAAACTTGCTCCCACTGATCTTCAGATATATACATCGATCAACGATGTTTTCTTTAAATCCAAAAGAAACAACAGTATCATTAAACTTAAGATACCATTGTCGTGAAGCTTGTTTAAGTCTGTATATTGACTTCTTAAGTTTGCACACCATGTGCTCTTTACCCTTTTCTATGAACCCCATTGGTTGGTCCATGTACACATCTTCATCTAAATTCCCATTTAGAAAGGCAGTTTTCACATCCATTTGGTGTAACTCTAGATCATAATGAGCCACCAATGCCATAATGATTCTTAAAGAATCCTTCTTTGAAACTGGTGAAAAAGTTTCTTTATAGTCAATGCCATCTTTCTGAGTGAATCCATTTGCAACTAGTCTGGCCTTGTAACGTTCCAAGTTACCATGAGAGTCACGTTTGGTCTTAAAGACCCATTTACAACCAACTCTCTTACACCCTTCTGGTAACTCAACAAGATCCCAGACCTTATTTTGTTCCATAGATTTCAACTCATCTTTCATAGCATCTAACCACTTATCACCATTTTCTCCATTCATGGCTTGTGAAAACGTTACTGGATCATCCTGAACACCCATGTCAAATTCAGACTCTTGTAGATATACCACATAATCATTAGAAATAGCAGGTCTCTTTTCTCTTTGAGATCTTCTTAATGCTATTTTTTGTGGTTCTTCTACTATGGGTTCATTCGGTTCATCAACAATGATTTCTTCATGAATAGTGGGATCATTAACTTGTCCTTCATTATTATTGATTGGTTCAATAGCGTAAGGAACAATAACTTTACTAGAGCTACAAGGTAATGGAACTTGTACTCTCACTTCATGAATATCCACTTTACGTGGTGTTTCACTCCCACTAACTTCACCATTCTCAATGAACCTTGCATTTCCAGATTTAATAATCCTTGTAGTATGATAAGGACAGTAAAATCTATACCCTTTCGATTTTTCTGGATAACCAATGAAATAACCACTGATTGTCCTTGCATCCAGTTTCTTTTCTTGCGGATTGTAGTATCTAATCTCTGCCTGACAACTCCAAACATGCAGGTGTCTTATACTAGGTTTCCTTCCAGTCCAAAGTTCAAAAAGGAGTCTTTGGAACTGACTTACTAAGAACCCTATTCAATACGTACATGGCAATTTTTAGAGCATAAGTCCACAATGAAACAGGTAAAGAAGAATTACTTAACATACTCATAACCATATCCAGTAAGGTTCTATTATGCCTTTCTGATACACCATTCTGTTGCGGTGTATCGGGCATTGTGTATTGAGCACAAATACCACGCTTTTCCAGAAATTTAGCAAATGGGGCCGGATGTTGTCCACTTTCATCATACCTTCCATAATATTCACCACCCCTATCAGACCTGACAATCTTCACCTTTCTGTCTAATTGCCTTTCAACTTCATTAATACAAATCTCCAAAGCATTTGCAGCTTGAGACTTATCATGCATCAAATAGACATAACCATTACGTGAATAATCATCAATGAAAGTGATAAAATATTTTTCTTTATTGAAGGCATTAACATCAAACGGACCACATACATCAGTGTGTATAATTTCAAGAAGCTGAGTGCTCCTTGTGGCTTCTTTCTTTGTGTGTTTTGTTTGTTTTCCTTTAATACAATCCACACAAACATTCAAATCAGTAAAATCTAAATCCGGAAGGATTTCATTCTTCACCAATCTTTGCATCCTTTCTTTGGAAATGTGTCCCAAACGTTTGTGCCACAAGTAAGCGGAACATTCATTAATTAAGGTACGTTTAGTACCAACATTATGATGCAGATTAATAAGTGTTTCAGCATAAAGATTATCAAGACATAATTTATATAATCCATCACATAAAGTACCATTACCAATCAAATGATTGTGCTTGTACAAACTGAAACTACCACTACCAAATTTAAAAGAGTAACCAGCAACATCAAGTTTGGAAATTGAAACCAAATTCCTAGATATACTAGGTACATAAAGAGTTTCACATAAATCCAAATGTTAGCAATTCATCAGTAATTCATTAATACATGTTCAACAGCAATCAATCAAGAACATGACATAGGATCTTTAGAATTCATGAGTTTCACATAAACATACCTTTGTCCATAATTGCAGAAGATCTTTAACAGTAGAATGCTTTCTCTAAGCCTTAACCCTTTCACCGTTCTTGTATCTTCTTTGATAGGGATATGATACAACTTTTCTAGGCAGACTCAGAAGGACGTTTGTTTTCTATCAGATACCCTTATATGAAAACTAATCATATAAACTATTATATAACTGGCCTATCACAGTTATTTCTAATTAACTTCCCTTAATGGCCAAAACGTCAATTACCATTAATGCGAAACGTCAATTACAATAAAGCCTCTTTTATTATTAATTAAACCAATTGACACACGTTACACATGAGACACAAATAGTTTTACAAGTAAGCGGAACATTCATTTGAACAGTGGTGATGCTTCTAGGGGCAAGGCCCCCGCATTGGAGTAGTTGATGATGCAGCTGATTATTTTATACTATGTTTAGACTTTATGATGGCATATGGATTTGTTAACATGCTCAATTATATATGGAGATTATGTTATGTATTTATTTAGGCTCATGATTGTATCCTTAGAGCCATGGATTAATTATTGATGTTTTTATATTTTTGAATTAATATAGACTTGATGTATGCATTCAGTTAATTTGGGCATGGAGCCTTCTTGTTTGTATTGACCCATTGAGGGGATTGCAGTTCGTGTGAACTTGCAAGCTATCTGTTTAAGTTAGTGTATCAATCAGGTTAACTGTATATGTGGGACCATGTTCCAGCTATTCGAAATACAGCTGTTATGTTGTTCGTGAGACTCCGTCAGGAATGACACTTGATGTCACATCTTGATGGTCAATGGCCACTAATACTGGCTCATGGGATTAATTAGTAGATGTATGTTTAGATTTACGCTTTCGCAGTATCTCAAGTGAACATTTTTAGAAAGGTTTTCATAAAATGTTTTGGAAAAAGTTTATTCATATTTTCATAAGATGATTTATTATTCTTTTAAAATAAAGTCTTCCGCTGTGTACGTTAAGTATCATAATAATAACAACCGGGGTACTACGGGGTGTTACATCCAGGATTTAGATTTTAAATTCCTCTCAAAAATAATATTGGGGAAGATCAAACAGATGCTCTCGTCTCACTTGCTCAACTCCTATACACCAACTAAACTATTTGATATGGATCTTATTAAAAATTACTGCACCATAAATTCAATAATAGTAACTTCGAGTAATCGATACATCAATCCTCTCATAATTTATTTTTTTTGTTGGCCATTTCTTGAATTTTTAATGTTTGTATTAATATGATATTTAAATTTCAATTAGTCAAGAGAAAATGACAAGATAATATACGGAGGCCATACCTTTTATACGAGCGTAGACCTTGCGAATACACATGGGCAAATCATAGAAGTTTTCTTCACCTTCAAGTAAAATAAAAATCTAATTGTTCCAATAATATTGTGTTTAAAAAAGTTTTAGACACAATGATTAAAAAAAAAAAAAAAAAAACAACTCCACACCGCAAATGATCATAAATTTCATTTTTATTGTTCTTCTTTTTTAATAAAAAATTAAAATTAGAACAAAGTAAACCAAAGAAATAAGTATGTGAAATATCCACACCGCAAATCTAAGGATTTTGAAGAAATATATTCTTATTTAAAAATTTAATCTTCTATACAGAAAAAAAAAAGTTAATTAATCTTTTGAATTGAATTGATTATACCAACTTAAAATAAACCTTATAACCAAATAAAAGATAATCTTCCACAGTATCATCTTTGGGAGGGTTTTAAAGCCTTAATCCTGAACCCGCTCCGAATCGAATTAGTTACGAAGCAATGAACTGATTGGAATATTTTAAAAAAAATAAATAATAATCTTTTTTTTTTTATAACAAAAATAAATAATAATCTTTATCTCGTAAGCAAAGTTACCATTATTAGGAAAAAGGAATGGTTTGGAAGTATTTGGAGCGTTGAGTTGCGGATGCAGAGAAAAGGGTTTGGTAAAGCTTGTTCAAAAGTTATCTCTTCAGTGAGTGTGGTCGGTCTTATTCGGTTATTCCGGTTGAGCATTGAGCCAGGGAATATAGAAGGTTGTATCAAAATGAGTTTATCTGGTTTTTCTATGTCCAAACCAAAAAAATTCTTTTTTATTATTATTATTATTATTATTACGAATCACAAAGATACCTCTCTTATGTGGAGTTTTTTTTTTAAGTGTCTTAAATTGTTAAATATTTTTTTGAATATTTTTTATTTAAATACTACATATTTTTTTGAAATATAAATTTCTCTTTTCTTGAACTTTCATATTCTTGAATATATTTTAATTTTTTAATCTTACTATATTTCTCTAATACAAATCTCATTAATAATAAATTGTAAAATAAATAAACAAAAAAATATTTCTATTTTTGCTACAGGAAATATTTCTCTATCACACTCACATAAAATGAGTGAATCTCATTATAAAGAGAAGAGAAAAAAAAATTAATAGGACTCGCTCACTTTTATATGAATATGGTAGATAAATATTTTCTGCAATAAAACAGAAATATTAACCCATAAATAAAACTGGATAATAAATTATATACTTTCTAAAAGTATTTTAAAGTTATGTAAAAAAATATTTTAAAGTTATTTATTGGCATTTATGCCTAAAAATTAATTATATATGAAAATATAATATAATTCAATTTTTTTCTTACCAATACCAACACTCAACAAAAAAAAAAAAAAAGTGGTGTAAAGTCAATATCTTGGCCCAAAGTCAACAGATGTTGTATATCAGGTCTTTGATGCCAAATTAAACACTTATTTTGATCCCAAAGCCTCTGGTTTTTTTTTTATTATTATTTTGGGTCCAACTTCAACCTTCTCCACCTCACCCCCTTCTACACTTTTATCCGTACTCAATTTTCTTCCAATTCACTACCCTTCTTCATCATGAACCCGCCGGAGTTTCCCGGCGGCGGAAATTTTCCGCCGTCATCAAAGAAAGAGCTGCAACTCCAAGGGCCACGCCCACCTCCACTCAAAGTCAGCAAAGAATCCCGCAAGATCAAGAAGCCACCACTGCCACCGCCCGCCGCCCACCACGACCGCGGCCAACCCGCTCTACCGGAACCAGACCAGCAACGGCGAGAGCCCGTGATAATCTATTCCCTTTCTCCTAGAGTTATCCACGTCAAACCCGGGGACTTCAAGGACCTCGTGCAGCGCCTCACTGGGCTACCCCCCCTCGATGAACCGCCGGCCGGGGCTGAAGACGTATCACCGGCGGCGAGGATGGCTTCCGTTGAAAAGACAAGCCCGCCTAAAAAAGAAAGGGCTTTTTCGAGCAAAGATGATGACATGATGTGTATGTTAGGAGAAGGAGTGGAAATGGGTCAATTTCCAGGTATATTATCGCCGGAGCCGGTCACTTTGCCGCCGATACCGTTAGAGTTCTTTTCGCCGGGAAGTGACCCGCAGACGATGTCGTTTTATAATGAATTTTGGTCAGGGAATAGGTTCTTGCCGAGTCCGTCTTTTCCTTCTCCGCAATCGTCACCGGACCTGTTCAATCTTTTCGACTAAAGTTTTCTCTTTTCATTTTCATTTTCTTTCTCTTTTTTCCACTTTCTTGATGATTGGGTTGCGAGAATTTAACATTCAGTGGCTCTTAGACTAAATAGCTTAATTTAATTATTATTATTATTTTTATTAGCATTAGGACCCAACAAATAGATATTTTAAAGATGTAATAATTATTGTTCAAATTTATTTATTTTTTATATTATTCATGAATTTATGGATTACACTATTAGTTTTAGTTTATTCAAATCACATAAGCAGCAAATCTCTCCCTAATCAAATTTTAAATAGGAATTCAAACTCGAGATTATTAGTTGATTTTCTTTCTCAAGTATTGATTTTTCATTAAAAAAAAAGCATTGTTTATAAAATGTGATTATTTTATTAAAATATTTTATATACGAGAAATATTAGCAGAATATAAACAGTACCGCGACCACATTTTTAGGTGTCTTTTTCATTTTCACTCACTGTCCAGTTCTTAACGGTATACGGATGCCACCATAATTTTTATTTTATTTTATTTTATTTTTAAGCTTGGGGATATCTTCCGCATCAAGACAAATAATGTCTAACTTTGGATAATTTAAATTAGCATCTCCTCTTCAAAAGAATAATAATAATAATAAAAATTAGCATCGAAAAATCCCTCGCATCTGCGAGCCACTGTACAGAGAATGGTAAGTTAAAATCTAATCAGATTGTTAAAAAAGAAAAAAGAAAAAGAAAGAAATTAAAAAAAAAAAATCTAAATAGGCCATTGGTTTTCCCTGTGTTTCACCCACTAAGGCTTGGAAATTCTAGCCAAGAGTTCCTATTTTTGCTAAAAATTGGAAACAAAGTGATAAAGATCATAAAAAATGCAAATAACTAGAGTGGCGAAACTAGGCTTGGATTATAGTCTATCAAATACGATTTATCATAACAGAAAAGTATTTATTTTTATTTCCACTCAAATTCTATAGTTTAAGATCCAAAATAATCTCGATTTTTGTCAAACATAATATTTGTGAATAAATCTTAATTTGCATACATCAAACTAAATTTTGAACTATGTAAACTATAACTAAAATATGCTAACAGTAATAAATGTGATAGATTAAAATTTTGAAATATTAAGTTTGGACAAATTTGATTTTACTAACTTAATTTTGGGTAAAAATAAATTTCAAGTTACGTTCAACACAGAAACAGAAACAACAATTTTGTTTACCAAAACAAAACAAAACAATTTTTTCCCTTCAAACTCAAACAGTAGTACATAGGGAAAACACCCAAACAACAATATTTAGCTTTTAATTAAAACCCGTTCGAACTCTTCAAACGCGAATTAATTTATATTTAAAAATATTTACGTGAAAAGTGATTTTGACATTTAGATAATATGGACAAAAATCACTTTTAAATGCATAATTACCAAAAGGGATATGCATTTATCTCTTAATTTAAATTGAAAACAAACTGTACAATAAGAGAAAAGTTAATGTTAAAAATTGATGCCGAAATCAATAACTTTAAAATTTAACTTTGTTAGGAAATTTGTACAATTTAAGTTTGATGCATTGTTAATATAAGAAAATTTTATGCCATTATTTGATGCTAGGGAATATAATAAAAAAGGACTTAGGATATGCATGACAACCATTATGTTTTCTAACATTGTTTCTGAAAAGAAACAATGTTTTTCTATTTATGTGTCTTGGAACAGTTTATAAGAAAAAAATTATGTTTGATAATATATTCTATTTTTATTCCGAGAATGAGAATTCCATTTGATAACACAAGAAATAACAGAATAAAAAATAGTCCTATTAAGCATAATTTTTTTTTGAATCATCACTTCCTTTTCATATGGTGTAGTGGTGTATTGGTGGTTATGACATGGTGGTGGTAGTGACGGAAGTGGCTGCAGCGATGGTGGTGGTAATGGTGGCGATGGTGATGGTGGCAGTGATGTGGAGGTGGTGGTGATGGTGGCTGTGGCATCGATGGTAGTGGTGGTCGTGTCGGGATAGTGGTGGTGGTGGTGATGATGGTAATGGCGGAGAGTGATTGAGAAAGATAAATGTTTCTCATTTTTTGCACAAAGGAACAAAAAAGAGAAAAAAATTTATTCTTTTTTCTGTTTTCCCAGCACAGAAATTGAACCGGTTCATTCTCGAGAACAAAAAATAAACCGCTTTTGTCAAACGCTATTTATATCCATTTATGTTTTCGGGAACAAAAATTGAAAAAAAACCGATAACCGAATAAACCGAAAACCGAAAAAAAACCGTAATTTTCAATTGGATTGGATCGGTTTTTGGATGGGTTGATAAAAACCGATCCAATCCAAACCGATCCAATATATTAATTCCTCTCTACCTACTTGGGTCTTTCTCTAATCATAGCCCAAAAGTTTCTAAATCCAAAACCCATTAAACCATCAACTAAACCCAAGAAAAAATCTAGTCACATCTCATCAACAAAATTTTATCTTTGTAGAGCTTTATATCTCATTGCCAAAAAAAGAAAACTATATTATAGTTTACTAATACTTTTGTATTTCAAAAAAAATAAAATTACAAAACCAATATATACAAAAGATGTTATTTGCACAATAAGCATAAAATAAATTTTAGGATTTTCAAAAAATCAAAAAACGATCCAATCCAAACCGAAAAAAATTGGATCGGATCGGATTTGAAAAAAATTGAAACTGAATGAATGATTATATAATCAAACCGAAGGAATTGGATCAGATGATTTTTGCTTCCAAAACCGATCAAATCCAGACCGCGAACACCCCTAGTCATGCACATCCTTAATGAAGTGAAATATAGATTAGCCGATGATGTGTCTTAAGATGGGTCGGAGAAAAGCTATTAGAATTGTGAAGGGTTAGATATAACTCCTCGTATATTTAATTATGATGTTAGATGTTTAATTGAGGGTAAGAGGGTTTGATTAGTGAAAATCCTGAGATTTGGGGTCAAAATACCCTCAGGGGCAAAATGATAAATTGCCTATTGTGTAACCCTAGACAGTGAAAAGTTAAATCGTAGCATAATTTGATGAAAATAATACTGGAAATGAGTTTAGAATGAAAATTTGAGTTGATAGGTGCGTTTTGAGAAATTTGATGAATAGTGATTTATACCAGGTAAAATACTGCGGTATAATTTTACCGAAAAATGCAAAAAATGAGTTTAATCTTTTAGGAAGTGAAAATATGCTGAGTTTGGATTGAATGGATGAGTGGTGCATTTAATGAAGATTGGTGGGCTAAATGAGTAGGTTTAAGTGAGTAAAGTGATGAGTTGGACCTACACCACTTATATGGCTTTTAAAGACAAATGAAAATCAGATTTTGAGGTCATCTCTCCCCTCTCCACAGCCCCAAAATCGTGCAACCCCCATTAGAGACCAAAAACCTTAAGCTTAAAATCGTATCTTCCTTTCTAGACCTCTTGAGGAGAAACCTTGAACATCAATGTTGCTTGAAATGATCTTGTGAGCATCTTTCCTCTCTTGAGCTTAGCTTGGGTGTGAGTGAGTGAAGAGATCTTCTCCCTCCAACATTTTCGACCTAGGTGGTGTGTAGAATCTTGGAAGCCCTCATTTCTTGTTTGGTGCGTGGAAACCATTCCTAAGGTGCTTGGGAGTCCATTGTGGTAAGTATACACAATTTTATTGAGTTATTTAAAAGATCATGAAATTGATGATCATTGAGGGTGTATATTTTGGTTGATGTAGTTGGAGAGCTATAATGGTATTATTTATTTGGAATTTAATGCTTATAATGGTAAATGATGAAGATTGAACCAACAATATTTATAGTGATATATATTTTGACACTTAGTGAAATTTTGATGGAAAAATGATGGAAATTATAGTGGGAATCATGAATGTGGTTGATGGAATTAAATGTATGGTTGATGAAATCATTAAATGTTGATTGTTGGAGGTATTAAATGAGAATGTAAATTGAAGAATGGAACAAGTGATTGAATGGGAAACCCCTTGGTTTTTGGCAATGTGCCCACCGACCATATAGATGTATTTTGAGAAAATTTGGTTCGAATGTGAGTGGTTATATTGTTGTTGTCTTGTAGTTTGCATGTGTAATCGAGATTGGTATTGATCCTTGTTGCATGATTATTATAGATCGCCTCTCACGAAATCCATTGTAGAGGTTGACGATTATGAGCTTTCTTAGGAATCAAGGAGCGAGGCTTGGAGGAACGAACGTTAAGGTAAACTCTTGGTATTGGAGTTAATCCTCTTGTGTGTTCCACCATACCCAAGTTGGGGGTGATGGTTGGATGTGTGCTCTTTGGTAATGTGTGTAATAGTATGTTCATGCATTATTGACTTGTTGATTGACATGTGTGTGGCATGTTGTGTGATATTGCAATTGTGATCTCTGACAGTAGATGTGTGAATTTGGACTTTCACCGATTTATGCCTTTGGGGAGTTCAGGTCGGGTTTTGTGATCTCTAAACATGGGACTTCCGCTGGATAGGTCTTCTTGGGAGTTCCAATTGGGTTTGTCATGGAGTCTCTCAACCATGGGAGAGGCGCCAAGAAGCATCCCGAGAGAAGTTTGATGGAGTCCTTGAACGAAATCCTTGTATGAATGTTCTTGAATTGTACCCAGTTGGTTATGTGATTTTGTATGTTATACTGTTCATATATGTATCACTGCATGCACATTGAGTGAGCCATTGGGTGGAGTGACCCTCCAGTACCATGAGTTTACTGAGATATATATGTATATCCCACCCCATATTTTGGGGCACCATTTCAGGTTCAGGTGAGAACATTGGAGCTTCGGGCAAGAGGCCCACCTAGTGGTGGAGATAGATTTTGGTGCATGAGATTCCTATGTCATTTTGGAAGATTTATATATGCACATGTTAGCATTCATTGTGTAGAGGACTTAGGTGTCGTTTGGATGGGCTTCTCCACAGCTAGAAGTTGCTTTTTTTTAAAGAAAAAAGTGCTTTTAAAATTTTAACAGTGTTTGGATGGTACTTAAAAAAAAAAGCACAAGTTAATGGAAAAGTTAAAATTTAACTTTTTTCAAAAGCTAAATTTTTTGACTTCTTGGAAAAGTAGAAGCCAAAAGCAAGTGCCAGAGCCCTCGTGGACAGATTACCCCTCAGCTCCCGCTTCATTTCCTTCTTGCTATCTTCATCTTCAAGTTCCATCTCTATTTTGAGGTACTATTTCTATCTTTTTACTCTCTTTCTTTTGCCTAGGTACTGTTTACATTATCTTTTCTGTTTACAAGAAATTGGGCGTGCTTTTGTTTACGATGGAGAACAATAAAAAAACCAAAAATTATCTTAAACAAACAATATAAATACTACATTGGTGATTTCATAAAGGAGAAGAATACAACCAGTTCTTAAATTTCTCTTACCTTCAAAGATGAACCAGCCAAAATGATGAAACCAATATTTATCATGAAAAGATTGGCATACTGTAAAGAAGAGAAGGTGAGCGGAGGAGAGGACAATATCATTGAAACAGAGTGAGTAAAATCATGTTTTTGTTTTCCTTTTTGTGGTTTTGTCTGGGGTTGATTCCGTCATCCAGGAAAGTTCTCCAAAAATGTCCGTATATCTCAAAAAACAAACCTTATAGGCCTAGAGCAAAATCAAGGTAGAAATTTCATGTTAGATATCTGTATACATAAATAAAAAAACAACTTGTAATTTATGGGGTCAAGCTTTTCTTTTTTGGGTTCATGTTTTAAACTATTTTTCCTTTTTTTGTGAAGTGCACAACAAAGCTTATCAAGTCAATTTCAGGTAGTTAACTGATTAGCTTGGCCTTGACACGTGAACTGATATGCATAGAGATTTAATTTTGTCAATCCTTATCAATCCCAACGCAAATGGGTCTGATGTAATAATTGGCTCACTTAAGTTTTACATTATTGGGTTACAATACTATTGTTAGCAACAGGTCTATTTTGTAACTTAAATCTATGTTTGTGCTTATTTCTAAGTTACAAAAAACGCATTTTATACTGTCATTTGAACTAGGAAGAAAGTGATTGTTGCAAAGAAATAAGAACTTAAAAGTGCAGTGCGTAGACTGTCATTGCCACGTGAACTAATTGTTGTTATATGCTAATCTCAAGTTTCTTTTTCTTTCTTTGGTTTTCCTTATCTTGTCTCTTTAACTTTTTCCCCTAATAGTCATTATGGGAGTTTAATATCTTTATTCTTAGAATGGCATCAAAGCTAGCTCAATCAGAGAATGTTAGTGACAATCATGGGAAGGCTAAGTGGACTGATACCAACACTGAAACTTTCTTAAAAATATGTGTGGAGGAGATTGAAGCTGGTAATAGGCCTCACACTCATTTTAATAAAGATGGGTGGAACAACTTAATGAACAAGTTTAATAGCAGGATTGGAAAGAACTATGACAAGAAACAATTAAAAAATAAATGGGATTCATTGAAACAAGAATTCGGCTTGTGGGCAAAGTTGGTTGAAAAAGAGACAGGTCTCATATGGGATCCAGTGAAAAACACTGTAGTGGCATCTGCAGAGTGGTGGGAAACTAAGGGCAAGGTATATATTTTTAGTTGAATAAAATATGAAGTATTACGTCTTCATTGCTGTATAATTTGCTTATTGATTTAATGTTCTTTTTTTGGGCAAGAAAATCCAAAATATTTGAATTGGAAGGAACAAGGACCAAAGTTCTTGACTTTGATGGAACAATGCTAAAAAAATGTGGTTGCTACTGGTTATGCTGTATTTTTGCCGTAACCACATACTTCACCACCAGTGCAAGCCACTGATAATGAACTATTTGATGAAAATGAGCATTATTGGTGGAATGAAGAGGAGGGTGAAAAGGATACTTCTGAACATGTTGTAGATCATAATGAAGGCCCAAGTCTGCGTATCAATGATTCAAAAAAAAGGCAGAGAGGGATGAAAGGAGGAAAAAGGCAAGGAATAGCTGAAAAATTGCAAAACTCCCTTGATCGAATCCTGGAAAATATTGACCAAATCTCACATACATTCGAGCCAAGATCAAATGACCCTTTCAGCATGGGTAGATGCCTTAGTCTATTGAAAGATGTGCCTGGTTTAGTGGCAGGCAGCCCGACAGACAATATGGCCCCTCTAATCTTTATTGCAAAACAAAACAGAAAGGCATTTATCTATTACATGGAAAATGAGCCTGACAAGGCTTTTAATTTTCTAAGCATGTTTACGCCTGAACATGTACAAATTTTTTGATAAATTTGTAACTTTGTTTTATCTTGGATGTTGCACTTAGAACTTGAATTTATATATGATGTTGAACTTGTACTTGGTTTTGTATTTCATATTGAACCTGTACTTGTACTTGGGTTTTTGTATGATGTTAAAGTAGTACTTCTAGTTTGTATTAGAATTATCGAATTTATATTATTTTATTTTTATGTGATGTTAGAATTTTTTTCAACTATATTTATATTTGTTTGAACAGGATGTCTAGTACATCAGATTCGGATAATGATAATGAGTTGTCTGAGTACGATGAAAATGCTAACAGAGCATTATTACAGAAGAAGAAAATGCTAATGTTAGCAACCAAAGTTGTTGTTATCTCTATCTATCATTAATATTCTCTACATGTGGATAAACAAAAAAAGAGAACATCAATACTTTCTGGACATGGATGGTTGGAAAAGTTGAAAAGAGGGAATGAAAATAGATTTTTTGAACAGTTTAGGATGAGAAAGCATGTGTTTAATAATTTGGTGAGTGACTTGGTTCAACATCATGGATTAAAGGCAACACAACATGTTGGTGTAGAGGAAGTTGTGGCTATGTTTTTGTACATGATTGGTCATGGATCCACTTACAGAGAAGTTGAAGAGAGATTCCAACGTTCCGGGGAGACAGTATAGAGGCAATTTCATCGTGTGTTAAAATCCGTTCAAAGTTTGGGACTTCAATTCATTAAGCCTGCTGACAATATGTTTAGGGATGCTGCAGAATATATCAAAAAAGATGAACGTTACTGGCCATATTTTAAGGATTGTATAGGAGCTATAGATGGCACTCATATTGTTATTCATGTTCCTCCTGACAAAAAAATTCCTTTTACTGGCAGAAAAGGAATAACTACCACAAATGTCCTTGTTGTTTGTGACTTGAATATGTGTTTTACATTTGCATTGGTAGGTTGGGAAGGGTCTGCACATGATACCAAAATTTTTATGGACACTCTGAGAAAGCCGCATTTACATTTTCCTCATCCTCGAGAAGGTAATTATTTCATATATTTATTTAATGTTAATGTAGATGTTCATTATATAGTTGTTCCAAATATAACAACATTTTATTACAGGTAAATATTACCTTGTTGACTCTAGGTATCCATGTTTCAAAGGATTTATGGGACCATATAAAAACACAAGATATCATCTTCCTCATTTCAGGTTGGCCCCAGCTTTAGATCACAAAATGAAGCCTTCAATTATTATCATTCAAGTTTGAGGAGTATTATTGAAAGAACCTTTGGAGTTTGCAAAGCAAGGTGGAGGATATTGCAGAACATGACCAACTATGAGCTCAAAACTCAATTTGCTATCATATGGTCAGCCTTTACTCTCCATAATTATATTCGGAGAAATGATTCATGTGACATAGATTTACTTACAATATTTGAGAATATTGATGATTTTGAAGCCAATGAAGATGATCTTGGAGAAGATGAATGGGAGGGCCAAGTACAGAGTCAATTAGATCAATAAAACAAACAAGAGATGATATCAGAAATCAATTGTCAGCGCGAGTGCATTGATAATTCTGATATATCTGTTAATTTTTTTGATTGTAATAGCACCAGTGGTTATTAATAGTATAATTGATTGTAATAGCACCACTGGTTATGCCTTTTTTGATTGTAATATAATGTTTTTGATTGTAATAGGACTAGTCGTTATTAATTTTTTTTATTGTAATATAATGATATTACTTTTCATCAGGACATGATTATGCTAAAACAAGGACCAAAGTGATTCATTCTCATTTCCTCATATATTACCATGAACATCATAAGATATCATTTACATAAAAGAAAAAGCAAACTCAGCTGCTGTGATTTTACATAAAGCATCATAAGATCTCATATCAACTTGTTAGCAACATTAACTACACATCAAGTCTCTACTCAAAAGAAAATTCTAATAAACTAGTGTTGATTTCATATTGAGAGCTAATAGGCAATTCTGTTGCTGAACTTGGCTCCAAAATTTTCATCTGGGTCTCATCTGTTCCTTTATGGTTGCTAGGGAAGGTGAGCCTTCAACATCCCATTATTCATTTTCGTAGTTAAATGTTCTTCAAGAATTTTGTAAACTATCATTGCGACTAGCAGGGTGTCTATATAGCAGATGAACTGGAGATATGCCATATGTTGGAGTTGCTATCAAACTAGACAATGGTGTGGTGTTGTTACCCTCAGCATGCTTGCTATGTTTAATATGCTTTTGGGCAGTGCCATGCCAGTTCTGCAGGTACTTTTGTGGTGCTGCAACAATAACTTGGAAAATATGAACTCTGACTTGTTTGCAACTATCATTGACAAGGGTGGCATGGCAAGGTGGTGGATTTACCTGTGGCATTTTGTTGAGATTGCTAATGTGGCAGTACCCTGAAAATCACCATACCACCAAGTTAAAAATAGGACTCTATAAGAAAAAAGGATTTAAAGGTGATCATATGGAGTATGATTATAAAAGTTGTGGTACAACAACAATCTAAATTTTTTCTTTGTAAATCACCATTTTGATGAACCACCCCATTTCTTGTAATGTATTGTATACTCTTTAAGTCTTCTTTCTTGGCTCAAAGACAAAATCTCCTGCATCCTTTTGGGCCAATCTGAATTTAATCTTCGAGCTAAATCTTCCACTTCCCTTCAATGAAAGACATACTCTTTTAAAAAAAAAAATTTACTGAGACCAACAAGTAGGTGTTCATGTCAGCAAGGAGAAATAGTATACATCTCATGCACATATCCTCAACAAGTGTATTCAAACAGAAAAAATGGCAGTCTAACCTTACTATGGTTTTCATTTGCATTTTCTGAAGAAGGATCCTTTGCATGGTCTTTCCTTCTCCTGTTCTTCTTTTTATTCTTATTTGCTCTGGTTCCCTTTATATCTGCCAAGTCATGTGTCCTTAAAGGCAAGTTATGTAAAGCAAAAACATAATAGGGTGCATTAAAATTATTATGATGCTTGTGGAGATGGTAATAGTATTATCTTGTGGAGATGAGTAGAATGCTATAAAACGATCTGCTATTTTTTGACAATAAGAAAACAAGCCATCTTATTAAATAAAAACAAAGAAACCATAACAGAGTTATCTGGAAACATAAAGTAATGAAAAATGACATTAAGAGAAGTGGTGGAAGACATACATAGGTTCCTCCTTAGGTTATCAACTGAGCGCTCATCCTTAGGTTCCTCCTCAACCTCAACATCCTAACACATAAAATTTTCAATCCATGGATTGAAAATTTATGTATCATATTAAAGTATGAATAAATTTAGAAGAAAAATAGAAAATAAGAGTATGATTAAACAGTCTTACAGTAAAAAAATAAATATCCCACACCCAATTTTACTTGTTCATTACTTTATACATAACAACTCATATAACTAATAAATTAGAATCATTAAATATTAGTGGGTTGTGAACCACTCTTTGAAATGCTTTCGGAACACCACATTTGAAAAGGATATCTACCATTTTTATTTTTATTTTCTATGTAGATAGAAAAGAGAAGGGACAACTTGTAGATTGACTAGCATATACAGTGGAAGAAGACATGAAAAGAAAAGGGTGAAGAAGGAGAAACTTACTTATGAGTATGAAGAAGCCTAAGAAGAAAGAAGGTAGAGACAGACCCCAAGATAGCACCGCCCCAATGGGCTTTTTCTTAGTCAAAAGCTGCATTAACAAATCAGATTACATCTTATGACAAGAAATTAATCAGTCCCAAATTAATATGAAACAAAGGAATGATTGAACAATTAAGAGGACATGAACTTGAGATGAAGAGAGGGTAGCAAACAATTTCACAAACAATAATGATTTCGAGAAAATGAGAGGCAGAATTCAGCGAAAGAATGAACCAATGGCATGGGCGACGCAAGACTTGTCAGGGCCGGAGAGGGGAGCCGAGGTGGTGGTGGTGGGCGTGAGCAGCGGCACGACGTTGAAGCTCTTCGATGGCGTTGCAGAGGTGCTTCTATCGGCGTCAGAATTGTCGGTCACTTGAGGAGAGGAGGTGCCATTGAAATGGAGTGAAGGGCACTTCAATCATTTTATAATTAAAAAGTCCTTTTATATTTTAACATCCAAATGACATTTATACTTAAAATTACTTTTCAAATATTACATCCAAACATAAAATAATATTAGCTTTTAAAAAAAGTAACTCATAAAAAGTCCTTTTTTTTAAAAGCCAATCCAAACGGGCCCTTAGTATATGAACATGGTATTGCATGTAGTAGTATTTACCATGTTTTTGTTGTTCATATGTAATTCTAAGTCTCTTGATCCTTAGTTGTATTACGAAATCCAATTGTATATGCCTCATTTTGTCACATTGGATATTGGTGAGCATGGGGATGTCCATGCCGCTTGGATTATGTTTAACACTTGGTTGTTGTAAAGAACATCATATGTGGGGTATAAATTGATGGAAGGGTCAAAGACCTATTGGATATTATGATACATGGGTTTAAGGTTATCAATTAGGTACCAATAAGTTGGAGAAAGAGGGAGGAACTCCTTCAAGTGAACCACCAAAAACAGGGGAGATTAAGTCTGCCTGAGGTGGAGTGCGCTCAAGCGCCAATAAGAGCGCTCCAGCGCTATGTGCGTAAAATAGAGGAAAATTCTCTGCCTCTTGGCGCTCCAGTGCCCAATTGAGCGCTCAAGTCCGCTGAAGACCTGGAGATGGCCAAATTTTTTGCCTCTGGGCACTTGAGCGCCCAGTAGAGCGCTCAAGCGCGCTTCCCAAAAACAGCACAAGTTTGATAAAATTGGCATAACTCGAGCTACAGAGCTTCGAATTGAGTGCGATTTGAACCCACGCAAAGCTAACAGAGAGATCTATAACATAGTAAGAGATAAGAATCATAGCGAAAGTATATAATTCTTAGTGTAATAAAAAAAGTGAAGGTATTTAGTGTTTAACATGCATAAAATTATTATTAAGCTTTGTTGGTTTATGAGAATCACTTAGCAACTTTAAACCCATGTTGTATGATGTTAAGCTATAACAATTATGTTTCGTAATAAGAATTTAGTTATGATCATAGTTCGTAAAATGTTTTAATGCGGTTGTTTCAAAAGTGAGAACGTTATAAAAAGAAAAAGTTTTCCTATATTTTTAAATGAACTGTTGTGATTATAACTGTGTTTAATATCATAATTGATGATAACATTATCGATACTTAACGGGGTGTTAGATTAGACCCTTTTTCTTTCTATGTTCCAGATATTTCTTTTTAGTCTTTTTCCCTTGATTTCCCTTTATTTCTTTCTCTACCTCTCCCTTTTTTTTCTTTCCATTTTCACCCTATATATGTATCTCTTTAGTTCTTTATTTTATTTTTATTTTTAATTTCTTATTTTTTGTCCTCTTATGTATCTTTATTTTTACTTTATTTTAATTTTTTTATTAGTTATTGTTATTTTTTAATGAATAATCTTATGTATATATTTTTCCTCAATTTTTTTTATATTTTTCATTTGAGTTCATTTAACACCGACCTCAACTAGTTTACATTAACAGTATCATTTTTAAAGCAAAATTATTTTTCTCTCAAAAACGATCCAAACAAAATTTTAAATTATAGAATTATTTTAAATACAAAACAAGAAAATCGAAATATAAACATTTACTTGTAAGTATGGGTTGATAGGTTAATACTTCAGATTTAACATAAGGTCGGAATAATGGATAAATTCTTGAAGGGCCAAGAAGTAAAACAAATTATATATGGCGTGACAAAGAGATAATTAGGGTTATGTTAACTCAAAAAAAAAAAAAAAAAACTATATATGGCGTGGCTCAATTCAAAACTCTCAGAGTACATAAAAACCTTCAATTGCAAAGCACGCGCGGCTTCCGCTTTTGGTATTGGTCAGTTGCAAATCGTATAGGAAAAAGACAATAAAGAACTAACTGGACTTCCATCATTTTCACGCTCTTGCAACCTCTTATAATGGATATGGAGATCTTACCTGGTTTATTTAATTTTAAGATATATCACCAGAAGAAGGGAATAAGAGGGGCAACTTATCAAGTTAAATAATGATATTCGTGTATTAATATAGCATAATGATATGTTAATATATTTTCCTTATTTTCTTAAACTTAGGAAAATAAAAATTGTGTAAATATAACGTAGCTAAGCTACACAATGGTTCTTTTAACACACAAACGGAACTTAGCTTCCTCAGCCTGAATCAATACCTTAGTAATCTCAAAATTGGCCCACCCATCGAATAATTTTATCCCCTATGGACTTGCAATCGGGAAACCGGTTCTTGCTACCGCTGGTAGGATGGCTGATAAGCTAGCCTCTGTATACTAGCATCCATGGCCATCAACGATCCGTTTGTTTGCTCAAACTGCGTGATAAGCTAACCTCTATATACTAGCTAGAGCGGCAAAACGGACTCGGCTCGGCCGCCCAACCCGCTAAACGGGGCGAGGCGGACTGAGTTTTTCAACTTATATCAAAAGCGGGACGGGATGGGGCAGGCTCATTTTTTGGCGGGTTGATGACGAGCATAGGCGGGCCGAGGCGGGTCAGTGTAAAATAGGCTCGGACTAGTGTGCCAATCCGCCAAACGGGGCGGGCGGACTGAGTTTTTGAGCCCACTTTCAAAAGTGGGAGAGGGCGGGCAGACTCATTTTTTGACGGATTGATGGCGGGGTGGCGCGGGGCGGGCCGCCCACTTTGCCACCTCTAATACTAGCATCCATCAACGATCCTTTTGGTAGGAGGTGATTTTTTTTTTCCCCATAAAAATGGGATAGCGAAAATCATTTGCTTGATAAGAGGAAGAGTGAAAGTAAGGCTCAAAAATTTTTTTTCCATCATTTGCTTGACGGGATGGAAAAAAAATGCCCCATGCTATGAAAAAATTATCACATAGCATTAGTAAAATTAACTTAACATTTCCAGAAAAATGTTGACCTACCAAACATCTTTTAGTAACTTATCCATAAAAAATTTCTCACCATATTTTCAAAAATTATTTTTTCTTGGAAAACTTTCTGGTTTTCATCAAACCGTTGCTGCTATGCCAATTTGAAAAAATGGATCGCCAAATGTAAATGCATGAGATCTTAGGCGTCATTGGCTGTGTCTTGCACAGTTATGGCCTATGGGCTTATGGCTAGTTGCACAAGACTCCAACGTTAGGTATTAGAGTATCCTACCGCTTAAATAGAGTTGAGAGAAAAACAAATTTAAAGATATTATTAGCCACACCAATTGGCCAGATAAATATAAATCTAGTGGGAATCCCTTCGTACTATTGCAGCACTGACTATTAAATAACTATAAAATTTAACTCTATACATTTTGAACTAATTTCCTACAAACTAACGATATGAATCAACTTAATTTTAAGTCCACCGGTCAAGAAATTCAACACGTACAAATAGACCAATTGAAATGACTTACCATGAAAACCCAATTGGGAAAAAATACGTGAAAAAGTATAGAAGATTTTCAATATATGGAAAAAATAATCTCTCTGAAATACAAGGAGAGATATCGTTCTCTCTTATATTAAGAGAATACAGCTCACTCAAAATAACACCAAGGAGATACTATTTCTTATCCACACTATCAGTATCTTCTCTGAAACTTGGGATGATGGAAACCAATAACAAACACCCTATTTATAGGCATAAGGTGCTGTACAATTTCCTCCTTATATGCTATTCATTTTCCGCAATTCACACAGTGCAATAGATATGCAAAATGTGCTTTGAAGAAAAAATTCAACAAAGCCACCACATCAACGGTGTAGAATTTGGTTTTTAGCCACCAAAAGTGGCCTTTATGTAGTCAGTGCTTACATCAATCTCCCACTTGAAGTTACTTTTGGTGAGCTTTCAAAATCTTTCTTCTCTTGCCAGTTCCATATTACCTACATCTCTGATAGACCATAAGAGGATCGATACTATTTAAACTTATCAATATTTATTTGTTTTGTCATGACATCTGCTAGATTTTCCGAGTGTCAATCTTCTGCATATCCACACTCCCTTCCTCTCTACTACTTCTCTGATAAAGTGATATTGAACTCCTACGTCCTCTTTGTACTTGAATGAAATGTTGGATTCCTTACAATGTGCAAGGCACTCTAACTGTCACAATATACAGGAATTGTCCGTTATTTGTGCTCAAGTTCCTTGCATTCTTGAGTAGCAGGCATGTATTCAGCTTCTGTAGTTACCATAATTTGTGATTAGGATAATCAACTTATTGCTCCTCCTGCAAGTGTGAGCACATAGCATTTAGTAGATTTTCTTTTGTCAAGATTAAAGTGTGAATCAATATATCCTGAGACAATAAACTTTGATCCTCCAAAATAAAATGCAACATGTGAAGTTCCTTTAATGTATCTCGAGATCCTCTTAACAACATCCCAATGCTCTTTACCATGATTTGTCATGAAGTGACTAACCATACCAACTGCTTGAGCAATTTCTGGCCTTGAGCAAACCATTGCATATATTAGACTCTTCACTGCTAATGTATACAATACTCGATACATTTTCATCACCTCTGTTTCATTGATATGGCATATTATGAATAAGAAGTCGGTAGAAATTGACTTATAATCTTCCATGAAGTGCCACAAGATTTCCTTTAAATAATTATTTTGAGAAAGTCAAATCCTCCTATCTTTTATGTCTCGTTGAATTTGCATCCCCCAAATGTTGTTTTTCGATCCCAAGTCCTTCATATCGAACTCCCTAGCCAATTGTGCCTTCAATTCTTGATTTTGATCATTGTTGGGGACTACCCTAAACATATCATCCAAGCACAATAGCAAAATGATGTAATTATTATCATCAAAACTCTTGTGAACTCAATCTGTTGTATTCGAGGCAAACTATGAAGTAATCAAATCTCTTGTACCAACATCTTGGCTCCTACTTTAAACCGTATAGAGATTTGGTTAACCTGCAAACCAAGTTTTATTATCCTTTTTCTTCAAAATCTTCTGGTTGCATCTCATATATCTCTTTTTCAAGTTCTCCATGAAGAAAAACATTTTTTTACATCTAGTTGCTCAAGATGTAAATTGAATACAGCACACAGTGAGAACTACTGGATAATGATAAGTCTAATAACTGGAGAGAATATCTCATTGAAATCAATATGGCAAATTGACTCTTGTCAAGTATTATTGAAAAGAAGATGACAGAAAATTTAGGATGTGCTTACGAAATTGTATGAGGTCAAATCTCTTCACATTAAGATATACATGAAGAAGAGACTTTATACTCTTCGAATGAATGAGTTCACAAGGATAATGGATCACATCAACAAACTGACTACATTCTTTTCTCAGCTTATAGCATTGGATTACAACGTAGCAGAAAATGAATGTGGTGAGCTTTTACTCCAGAGTTTACATTCATATGATCAACTCATCATCAACATAACAAATAAAGGATTATTAGAGAAGCTATCTTTCAATGATACTATTGTTGCAATTCTCGAAGAAGAATTTAGAACAAAGAATAAGGAAGACAAATTGGAAAATTCAAAGCAAGCAAAGGCTTTGTTGATGACGAGAGAAAGATCAATGGAAAATGGCTCAAGTGGTAGTCAAAAACAAAGTCAAGGAAAATGAAGAATTAAAAAGGCTACCAATGTGGAAAGAAATGGCACTCGAAGAAAGATTGTTGGAATAATAATAAGAATACAGAGAAGCCTTATGAAGCAACTAATTCTCAAGGATGTGTTGCTAGTACCTTTGGTGAAGGAGAAATCTAATACAACCAAGCAATAATCAGTTCTAAAGGTGATAAACAACTCACTAATGTTTGAATAGTGGATTCAGGAACAACATGGTGTTGTACGCAGCCTTACCCGACTTGTGAGGGTAAGAGTAAGGGTCGATTGTATGCAATCATCTATGAATTTTTGCAAAGAAACTATTTTTCAAACTTGAACCCGTAACCTTCCTGTCACAAAAAGAACAACCTTACAGCTGCTGCAAGACATTCAAAATAAGTGTGTGAAATGAATGCAGCACAGTTGGTAAAGGTGGAGAAGAGAACTAAAGAAGGTTTCCTATTTCTTGCATTAATTTATCACAGTACATACATCACTAATTATAACACAGCATTTACACAATGCTACATAAGCTAATTGAATATGATAACAGATCACAACTAATTACTAATCTACCATCAACTATTCTAACCATGTTCTAACTCCTTAATCAGTTCTGACCAATCTGTTAAACTTGAACAAAATAGCAACTACACTATACCAAGAGGTAACTTTTGAGTGTTTTTCATCCATAACACCGGCCCATAATACTGACCTGAACTGAGAATTCATATTGAGAGTTGACACCGCAGATTTAGAAGCCAACTACTACTTCTGTTATGAGGATTAGTTGGACTGAGTATTCCCACTCCTTGGCTTTGTTTTGAAAACACCCCACATATAATACTTATCACAGATTCCTGTTAAATTAGATAAGTCATTGGATCAATAACCTATTAGCATAAATTTTCTAAATTTAAAGTAAAAGCACTAGTTTTCTAACATACGCCTATCGTAAGGAGGTAATAAATGCGAAGAAAAAATGAGGAGCTCCACGTTGTTAATGACTGCCTTGAGGGCAAGGTCTTGTTCAATTACATCGTTCAGCACTCCATCAAAGACTGTTTCATCCCTAATTGAAGTAAAAGAATACAAGTAATCAAGGGAAATATAGAACATTATATTACCAGTCATTATGCCAAATATAGTCCATTGAAGAAGCATACCTTTCATACTGGGGAAAGAAATAGACAGCAATATCATCACTATTAGGTGAAAACATGTCAAAATTCTCAGGCCAAATAGCACGCCTCAATAACATCTCCACATCAAGCAGTCTAGGAAGCTCTGTTACTACCGAATGCACTTTTGAGCAAGCTTTGCTTGATGTATAAGCAACAAGACCAAAATGTGTTGCCTTGTTCATTCTGAATTGCCCCCTATAAATGAAAACAGAAGAGATGTGAGTGAAGAAAATGAGTCCATAAATAACCCATTATGTGGGTGATCTCTCTCGGTCACATGACAACAACACCAACCGTTGTGCCAAGGTTCCATCTAAAAGCAACATCAACACAGAAAATGTAGTTAAAAATCTCACGTCCACAATGGATGACTAAGTGGCTGAGCACGGCTACACTTGTCAAACTCTGGATAAGACAGGAGCTGAGGCATTATGGCATCAGAGTCAGCATATTTTTCACACTCCAATGCTTGCTGGTCAGGTGAAGAATTCAAAGGACCTTTAGGCGATTCAGGCTCCTCTTGAAGAACATTCTCATCTTCGAGGATCAGCCATCCCTTGTTAATGTCATTTTTTCTAAGGCATTCAGCACTTTCACATTCAGATGATTTAACAGGATTTTGTTTTCTAACAGCACCACTCTCCTTTTGCATTTCCTTCCTGTTATATTTAGCTTCAGTTGCATCACTTATGCGTTTGCTTTTCTTCAATTGTACAGATCCACATTTGGGATTATTTGGAGCGCAATCCTCACATTTCCAGCTAACCGTTCCATCATCTTCTCTATGGAACTTGTCTAGACAATAACTGCAAATAAATAAAATACTTATTAAGCATATTTTACAAATATCAAGGAAAAAAAAAAACGGTATACAAGTATACAACATTTACACCCCAGTTTATTATGGCAACAGGCAAGGGACAATTAGGGAGCACCTTCATTTCTTCACTCGAAATTATTGAGTATATGTGGGAATTGTGGGTCTAATCAGAACAAATATATATAAGCTGGTGCAGCGTATATTAATCCTAATTACAAGAATAGTAAGCTCCTTAATCAGAGCACTACACATTAACAAATATTAAGACATCAAGCATATATATTGTATGCACCTTGTTTGTCACATATATAGTTGCCTTGTAACACTCTAAGGGATTTAGTGAAATATTTGTTAGCTGGTCATTCAAATTCACAAATGCAGTATCAGTTTCTCAGGACCGAATCTTCTCCCAGTGACAATCGATCTCAATGTACTTCGTCCCTTAACAAAAAGAAATGATTGGAGGCTATATGTAGAAAAGCTTGATAATCATATACAAGCTTCATCGGTATTGATCCACATATGTTCACCATTTCAGGCAACTGCCTTGACCATAAGAATTCAAATGTTGTAGTTCCCATTGCTTGATATTCAATGGGAACTGCCACATTTGAACTTAGAGTTAAGATAGTTACTCATAAAATTGAAAATATAAATCCTAACCAAATGAAGCTCATGTGTAATAATCTATAATTCTGTACATATAGCCTCAAATCTAGCCATTTTTTAAAGGACCAATTGATATCGTTAGACAGTTTATTGTACAGTAAATTAATTAGTCCATTAGTCATCTACCTAATTAAGGTGCAATTTTATGAGTTAGTTATATTTGTAATTGTCATTGTAATTTATATTGCACAACATATTCTTTTCTTTTTCTATTGAAAAAATATAACTATATCCTTGTTTTGCTGGATCAGACACATAATTCAAGCCTATTATCTCTAATTTTACTCATGTACTCTATTTCTCTTTTGATCTTGTACTTTCTCAACATATAGATCTCCAAGATTCTTCTGTAATTTCCCTTCTCTTATAAGTAAACACATAAATGTAATTTAACCATTTATTGTTTGGTTTCTTAAAAGGCAAATAACCCGTAAATGTTAAACGAACATGATATTCTCCACCAACTTTAAAATAAAATAAAAAATCTCTTATTTAAATTCATATTAACATGTTTTACCTCATATTTGAATGTGAGTCTCAATATTTTTTTTCTTTATTTTTTATACTTTTAGTTAGATAAAAGAGAGTAAAGTGTAAATTTTTAAAATTAGACACTAACCATGACTTCCTAGTTTTTTTATATGGTTTATATATTAGCGAAACGAATACAACAAAATCAAATTTACTATATTATTTGCTAATGTAAAGAGTAACATACTAACCAACCATATGGGGTAGGTTAATTAAAAAGAGGTTAAAAGGTTTAGTTATACAATTTATTTATTTTTTTGATAAACTAGTTATACAAATTTTAGTTACAGCAATGATGTGATTCTTTCTTGTTTAGTAATAGTATACAGTTTTACACCAACAATGTATCAAATTTATGTTTACTAATACTTAGGTCCATTTTTTTTTGAAAAAATATAGACAACACAATTTTGGCTAAATAAATTATACAGCTAAATAGAACCCCAACTAATTATCCAAACCCCAAAAAAATATTGTCTATGTTTAAATACTCAAAATGACAACTCAACGCATACATACCTATGCTCAGCACAAGCTTTACACTGGACACAGTATATGAGGTGCTTCAAATCTCCTTTATCACCACATATTAGACATATATTTGTCTGTAAAGATCATTGAAACAATTATAGACACACATTCTAATCCTATGCCATGAAACAAGCAATAAGCTGAAATGTTCTTAAGATAAAGGGAAAATATTGCCATCAATGACCATAGATAAATTCTTAATTGGGCGAATATTGAAATAAAAGAAACATTTGAAATGCACACGCACACACATACATATAGAAAGGGTCCTATCAACATTCACACACACATATATAGAAAGGGTCCTATCAACATTCACACACATATATAGAAAGGGACCTATCATCATTCACACACACATATATAGAAAGGGACCTATCAACATTCACACACACATATATATATATATCGAAAGGGTCCTATCAACATTTGCTCTCAAGAGCATGTTTGTTAATAATGAATTGCACAAACTGAGACGAATTCAATGCGGGAAGTCTAACCAACAATCATCAAACGTAACATTAACTATTCCTTGACATATCTCCTATTGGAAGATGTTAAGCAATGGAGGCATTCCCATGTGGATCCCTCAAAAAGCTACCCACACGTGTGTTACTTACAACAAATGTTGTATAAAGTTACAACTTAGAACTCTTCTAAAAAAAGTAAAAAGGATTTTAGAAAACAGTTACAATCATTCTAACGTCAAAATTACTGTAAATTTAGAATATAACTTTTTATTTCTTTTGTACAGGAATGTAACTTTTTTTTTAACTTCAGTATGTTTGTAACTTTCTTCAAAATTTTTGTAAATTTATTTAAGAAATTGTACCTTTATCAAACATTATTGTAACAGATGCATTCAGTGGCTTTTTGGAATGTAAAAATGCCCCTAGAAAATGCCATAAAAGAAAGGGTAGTGTTATAATAGATTTAGTTTCATGGTAAACTCTATATGTGACAGCATATCTATAATTGATAATTTCATAAATATGCATATATTTCATAAATATGCACCACAAATAAGATTCAACATGAACCAGAGCGACCCGTTAGCTTAAGCTTTTTCTTAGAAAAAAGTGTTTTTTAAATTAAAAAATATGTCAACTTTTTTTTATAATTAGATAAATTTTTCAAAGAAAAGAAAAGAAAAAACCCAAAAGAAAAATAAATAAATCAGTGTTAGAGTTTTGCTTCGAAGTCAAGAAGAATAAAAACTAATATTATAAAAACATTTTTTTATTGAAGATATCCAAACGCACCTTATACTAAGGCAACTCTAAAAATAATAGGAGTATGGTAATCAGGAAAGTTCATGAAAATAAGATTATATTGTATTTATTAAATTATTTTAGTAATTTTTTAATTATTAACAAAAATACATGTTAACTGAAAACAAAAAATAAAAAAATAAACGCCCTCATCCATAGGGGTCACTCGGAGCCTTTTATGGGTAAATTTTCAACAAGTAGTGAGTGGAATAAATGTAGAGGAGTACTGAAAATACCCGTCAGCCAAGAGTCTTTCGAGCTTAATCGTGGATATTGTACATACCAAATTTTTGGTTTAATTGGTGCTTTATTTAATTTCATTAGAAAGTGTTGAACTCTTCATCTCGTAATATCAGGATTCATGTAAAGAACCAATTCAGCTCGAGAATAATTTAAGCTGTTAGATGAGGGTTTATATTATTCTATAATAATAGATTCCATTTTGAGGTTAGAAGATAATTGGTATAGTAAAAAAAAAAAATCACTCCCATCCCAGTTGAACCTGACTAGCTAGTGTGGGACGGAGGTAACTCTTATACGCAGTCTTACTATTGTATAACAGCAAGAAAACTGTTTCCTGAATTCGAAACCATAATAAAAAAAATTACCACCGTTTCAGTTTCAATTCGCCCTTAATTGTGTTGTGAGTGATTGAGTATTGGAAGGTGGTGTCCTTGATTAACTGGGATGTGGGGTTTGAAGTGAGAGAAAAGTGTAATTAGCTGTTTTATACATCTACAAGTACAATTACAAGTACATTAACCTTTGACTACGACTATTCCGTCAAAATTCTCAATAACCCCATGGCTGCGAAAATTGACTAAACTAGTTCTCGGTCTTTCAGAAACAGTTTACAAGTAAAATACTAAAAAGTATTTAACATAATCACGAAATAAAAGAAAAAGAAAACGAAGTTAGCTGCACACAGTGAAATTCAAGGGTTTGAGGTAATGGGGAAAAAAATGAAAAGAACAGTAAAATGAGTTAATTAAGAAATGGGGTGTACCTTTTCGACGTCAACGGTGCGTGGTTTACTTGGTGTAGGCGAATCGTAAAAGCCATAAACTTTAGGAACCATCGTCGCAACTCACAACCCCAAATCCTATCACTCTCTCGCCACTTGAAACCTCACCAAACGCTGAAGTTGAACGGGTCCTATACCTTTTGTTTTGTTTTTGTTTTTGTCTTTTTTGTTCTTTTTAAACGTGTCCCACGCCTTCCTTATTAACCTTTGTTAATATTTTAATTTTTTTGAAAGCACTATTCTTATGCCACGTGGAAGACGAACAATTGTATGTAACTTTGTACCATGTTCATGCCCAAAAAAATTAGAGTGATTCGGGACTATCAAATTCGGTATTATTTTTTATTAAAAAAGGAAAAAAAAAAATTAAAAAATAGAAGAAATATTCTTTTTGATCCTCAAGAAAAAAACACGTGACTTTTAATCCAATTAGTTAAAGGAAAAAATATTTGTCTTTTTAAAAGATATAACTTTGTGGCATTTTAGATACTAACCGTTAATTTTCATTAATCAATTGTTAAGATTTATTGGATCAAATTTATTAATTAATTATTAATTCACAATAAAATCCAATAAACGCTAACCATTGATTGATGGAAATCAACTATTAAAATCTAAAATATCACAAAATTATATCCTTTATTAGAATAAACGTTTTTCCCTTAATTGAAATTGTGATCTTTCAAAAATTCAAAGAAGACTCATGTTAGTCCTTCAAAAAGATTAATCTGCATCTATTTTGAATTTTAAAAGTATCTCGAATTAATATTTTTTTTAAAAAAATTAAATTGGGTCTATATTTTTTGTTAACGACGAAAAAAATATTTTCTCTGTAAAAATAAAATAATGAGTTCGACACTGCTGATGTACTAAAACTTTTATCATCCATGCCGCTTCGAAGGAATTGTCCCCTACACATCGGTTGATTTAGCGGCTTTCAACCGCGTGCATTGTTTGTTTTGTTTTTTTAGTACATCGTGCATTGTTTTTTTAACCTTGAAGATGTCCTAATTTAAAAATAATAGGTGTTCTGATTTTTATTTTATATAAATGAATTTAATATCTCTCGTACTATAAGAGATAAAATTATCTCATACGAATTCATATTTGTTTTTTCTTTCTTCTTTTTATATGATCCCACGTGATTCACACCTAATTTTATATAAATTATGAAAAATATTAAACTCTAAAACTTGGTGAATTTTTAAAAGTTTTCATCTACATAAATAATCAGATCCTTTACTTGCATGCTCGTTTTGTTTTGTTTTTTTTAAGAATTCGTTAGTATTTGAAAAAAAACAGTCTGAAAATGTTGTAGAAAAAACTAATTTTTTTCTAAATAAATTTATTTAAATAAACATAAATACGGCCATCAAGAATTAGGTATAAAACTTTGGTTGGAATCTCTTACTATATGTCACTTTGATATTAACACATGGAATGGTGGACCCCATTCCTTATTATCATATAAATTAGTTATATATTTTTCATGAAAGGTTATGTTTATCATTTCTTTTCTTTTACAATTTCTTGCAATTACTTTAATAATTATGGAATTAAAATTAAATTAACAATTACAAAATAGCATTAAGTGAGAATCATTTATTTAATTTTAATCTAACAACCATAAAAATAATTGTAAGAGATTATGAGAGAAAATAATGGAATTTGAGAGTAATATTGTGTGGAAAGAAAATGTTGGGGATCAAATTTTTCATGGCTTCGGACCAGATTGGAAGATGGGGGAAAATTTTCGGGGATTGGTACTTCGTTTTATTTGTGTTGTTCAAAAGTTTTATTCCTTTTCGTATTCAATCACTTCCAAACAATAAGAAAAAGCTATCATGTCCACACTTTCATCCCCACTCATAGCCATTATCCACGTCACCCCCTGAATTCTAACTAAGCAAAATAAATATTCTATTTAAAGTAGTTTAAACTTAATCAAAGAATTCACATGATTATAAGTATGGGTATTCATCAACCGATCCAAATCGATTCAAACCGCAATGACCAAACCGAAAAACCGATAACCGAACAAATCGAAAATCAAAAAATCGAAAACTGAAAAAAAAATCACAATTTTTAATTGGATTGAATCGATTTTCGGATTGCTTAATACTGATCCAATCCAAACCGATCCAATATAATAATTCTCATCTACTTACTTTGATCTTTCTCCAATCATAATCCAAAAATTTCTAAACCCAAGACTCATTAACCCATCAACTAAACCCAAGAAAAAACCTACTCACATCTCATCAACAAAATTTCATATGCGTAGAGCTTAATATCTCATTGTCCCCCCAAAAAAACTATATTATCGTTTACTGATGCTTTTGTATTTCAATTTTTTTTTACAAAGCCAATATATATATAAAAGATGTTATCTACCTGAAACATTTTAGGATTTTCAAAAAACCGAAAACCGATCTAATTCAAACCGAAAAAAATTAGATCGGATCGGATTTGAAAAAAAGTCCAAACCGAATGGATGATTATATGGCCAAACCAAAGGGATTGGATCGAATGATTTTTGCTTCCAAAACCGATCCAATCCAGACCGCGAACCCCCCTAATTATAAGGCCACAAATATAAAAAAAAAATTAGTTTTATAATCACTTACATATCACATATAGTAATGTACTTTTTAATTATCGAATCATTTTTAAATTAGTACAAGCTAAGCTATGAAGTTAACGTTAGTTAGTAAGGCAATTCCATAAACTAATCAAACTCATATTGGAACAAAACTTCAATTTTTTTTTTTTTAATCTGTACCTATTGTATATGTTTAACTACTATTCACAAAAAAATGTTACCAATAAAAAGATGGGAATCCTTGTAGCCTGACTCTACAAGCAGACCACTTCTAATTCTGAACTTAGCAATGAACATACTACTAACCGAGCATGACATGGCTCAGATACCACAACCTCCTAAATCCATGCTTCAAAATTTTCCAAGTTATACTAGGAAATCCAAGGCCTTGAAACTAATTTATCACTGTCCACCTTTACCAAGCAAAGCCACCCTTGAATATGAAGAAGTAACCCGGTTATTCAGCACCAATAAAGCCAAGACAGACCTAAAGCCTACCTAATAGGCAATCCAAAGTTATGGAATGTTTTGATGGTTCCATCACAACCAGCTGCTACAATTGATAGTCCCCATGTTTCTGATACACAATTATCATGGGAAGGATCTTTGAGACATAGCTGTTGGTGATCAAACTCAACTTCTTCAATAGGCAAATCCAAACTGGGAAGCTTCTCCTCTGGCCATGTCATAGAGCCTCGGCATGTAGCATCAATGGAGAACCAACTACTACAAGAAACTCGTTCTGACTCTCTAGACACAGAAGCAGCTTCTAATTGGTGCTGCATTTCTGATGAATAGTGGGCAAAATCATTGTCAAAGCCCATTTGTTCTGCACTCATGCCTGACCAAGGTATTGCAACAGTAACCCCCTTGGAGCGAAAGTACTCACAAGAATGCTCGGATTTTGTGTGTTTGGAAGAAGCATTTTCCATGTCATTGAAGTTCCAAATATAGACGCGAGAGTCCTCTCCAACTGAAACTATATGTTTTCCACTTGATGTAAATGAACCAGACATTTGACTTCCTGACCATGGAAGGCCTGCAAATAGTAGTATGATTCAACCAAATTAGAATATTCCATATCAAGAATGCAGATAGTGGAAAAAGATTTATCAATGTTCCAGTGAGTTTTGCAATCATATAATTAAAAGCCACAAATTAGTAAAGCTAAAGTCAAATATCAGAAAAGGAATACATGCAATCCACAGGTAAAACCTATAACACACATCTAAAGCTTGCAGGTGAAGCGTGGTTACAATATAGGAAGTTTTAAAAAAATGGAAAGCATGCATATATGAAATGGATCAAACACATCATTCTTTATTGGAGAAATTATGTTAAGTGCAAATGGAAATAGCCCAAAGTAATCAATCAAAGTCATGGGGTCTCTATCTGCAGATTAGTAATGCCAAACTGAAGTAGTTTAACTTCAAGAACTTAAATACTTAATCAAGAATCAATATTTTTAACCTACCCGTGAAGAGAAATGGAAATAAAAGATTTTCTATCGTATTTGACATGCATATTACTTTTCATTAGATTGACAGGGTAGGCATTAAATTAAAGCTGATATGTTTACCAATCTCTAAAACAATTGCTCGTGTCTAAAAATAGCAGAGTGCAACAAGGACAAAATATTAACTAATTCAAATAGTTATACGGTCCCCTGTTTAAAGCAACAGATTCTTTTAAAGATGAAGAGAAACAGACATTAATGGAATTAAAGGAGCTGACCACTAAAATAACAAACAGAGACAAAATGACAGTGATTTAATCTTAGCAAAACAAAAATGAGAACATTTAGGGAACCCATCAACATGCCAAGGTCACAAGAAAAGTGATGGAAAAAAAAATACAAAACAAAATTTACAACTCAAGAGAGAATTTTGAAAGCTGTCCTAGCATTCTCTCACTAATGGATCAACACTTAGTGCTCTACCTTTATATTTCTGAACAAGTTCAACACCTTCCAATATCCTTATCTTAGAATCTTCTGATGTGATCATAACTTTCTTATGGTTATTCTGGGAAAACTGCAATGGAATAAGGGTAGTGTTAAGAAAGGAAGTAAAAAGTATAACGTTTTAGCAGTGAAGAATTTCAAGAATAAAACCTGAATGCCAGTAATCTTGCTGCCAATTTTCTTCTTCCCATTGACATGAATCTGCGCCTCAAGCTGGAAATATTTTCCTAAACCATTAGAAATTCAATTTAGAAACTCCTTTTAACTCATGTCACTCTCCTATTCTTTTTTGCTAAAGAGAGTAATTGGTAATTAGTAACCCACAAGTAAATACCTGAAGCAACATAGAAGCGGCAAGTGCCTGTAAGCGAACCAACTACAAATCCCTGCATGAGTAAATAGTAAAAGGTTAAATATATCATGGAGAAAAGTTTCCTGAATTGTGACAAGGAAAAAGACATACAAAAATATGAAAATATTCATTCAAGTATTCATAACATACCTTTCCGTCTGGCTGGTAACTTATAGCACTTATGACATCTCGTATGTCTGCCCAATCAACTACTCGCTCTTCATGTATCCCCCATATTCGGACTTTACCATCTATGGAACCACTGATGAAGTAATTTTCATCAACGGGGTTGAATTGAATGCATGTCACTGCTTCCATTTAAATAAGAGACACAATTAGGATTAGACTTGTTGGATATAGGTATGCTAACGTTTCACATTAAAGCAAATTATGAAAATGAACAAAGCATATGCTGAAAATTTATTAACAATTAAAAGATGATTACAGCAAATGAAGATTAAAAGCCCTGGTGCTCTTACACTTACCGTAGTCTTTGTGATGGAAAACACTTAGGCATTGACAACAACCAATTTGCCACAAGCGGACAGTTTTATCCATAGAACTAGAAAGAAGAGTCTGCAACAGGAAATTTAGATCAGATTTAATACAAGTTGCAATCAGAACAAATAGCATTTATCAAATAAATAAGGGGAAAAATAACAAGCTTCTGCAAGTTAAACTCACATCTGAACTAGACCAAGCCAAATCCAAGACATCACTGGAATGACCATAAAATTCTTGCATTGGTGATTCTTCAATTTTGAAAATCTTATTTGGAAGAACAATGAAGGATTGGCTTGAGCGTTTCTTCTGAGAACAAGAGATGTCATGTTTCGCTTTGCTAACAGCACTGTCTTCTTCGGTGAAGCAATTACTGGATGTATTCATTGATACTACACGCCATATGCGTATAACACCATCTTCACCTCCACTAGCCAGATACTTACCACTGGGACTAAATTTCATTGTCCAAATTAGGCCTTTGTGTGCTCTAATCTCTTGTCCCATATATAGTGCACTGAACTCCGTCCACCTCTTTTTATTCCGCCTTACTTTAATTCTACGAGTTTTATTTGTCCCTTTACTCAATTTTGATCTCACTTTCCCTCCACCTCCTTTCTTTCTGTTCACAAATTTGTCCCACCAATTTTTCTTTTTCTTTATACCAATATCAAAATCCCCAAAAAATTCTGGTAGAACCTCAGCTTCTCCATGTCTAAGCTCTTGATCTGAATAAGAGAGCTCATACACCTTCCCTTCAACACTTGCATCTGATTTATCATCCGGGCACCCTTTGAGTTCATCAAACATGACTTGTGCTTCAGAAGTTGGTTCACATCCTGAGTGAACCAACTTCACAGGAACATGATCAGTAGCATTTGAGACTGCTCCACTGCAGTCCCTGATCCTCTCCAATCCCAACCTAACTGATGAGGAATCATAGCTCATCATCTTCTCTTGCAAACAAACCTTGGGAGAAGCATCATCCAAACCCATCATCCCTTGTAGAAACCGTTCCCTTCTTTCCTTCACACTGAGAGGCTCATTCATCCAAACATCATAGCCAAATTCTTGAGGAGGTGACAGCCAATCAACCGAGTCAAAGAACACATCATTATCTGCTTCATCAGAGATCAGCATATCTTGTACTCAAAAACAAACCTTCCACATAGGAAATAAATAAATAAATAAATGTCACTTCAAACCCTTTCCCCTACAATCAAAATCCACTTCTTTGCAACACCTTAAATACCAAATGAAACCCCACCACCCCCAAAATCAACGGCCCGAGTTTCTCTCCCTGATTATGCGAAACTCAACGGAATATAAAAATGTTACCACCACCACCACCTCAAGCAGGGACCATGTACGACGAACCAACCACAAGCTCCACAAAACAACCAATGACAACACTTCTTTGCATGTTCAGAAACCCCTCACTAGGATCCCAATATAATAAACAAATCATCCCCCAAACCCCGATAAAAAGACTAGAAGAAACACAAACCAAGATATTCTGAGTTGGAACACTACACACCCCCTCTTGAATATTAAGCAAAAGCACCAAAATTCAACATTACCACCGACCCTTCCAGTTATGGTGGCCAAAGCAATAAGTCAAGGGTCATACAAAAAATGTGCTTCCAAGTGCAGTGAACCGAACCCAAGGAATAGTGGTGTGCCCCGGTTCAAGACACGAGAGAAACTGGCGGAGGAAGGAAATTGGTGTCACCCAGAAAACAAACCAGCTAAGTAACCTCGAGATGTGGGGGGGGGTTTCGAGATTGTTGTAAGATTGTAACCGCACGCGCGAGCGACAAAACACGAGCGGCGCGACCCGATAAACAAAGACGCTATCTTTCTATGCACCTATCTCCATCTCTCATTATCTGAAAATTTCAGCATCAGGGTCATTAGCTTAATTAAATCATCATCATCATCATCATCATCATTATTGAGCATATTTGCATTCAAAGTGAAGAGACAAAAAGTACAGAATTTTTAAAAGCATTTCCATTTCGAGGGTGACCTGGTACATGAAAAGAATATGCCTAAATCAAAATCAATGATCAAAATTCAGACAATTCAACAAACAGGAACCTCGTGGTCTTTTAACTGCAAAATGGTCCTCTTTTTTTATTTTTTGGCTAGTGTTTCTCGTGAAGGGAATGGAATAGGGTGTGATTCGAATTTAAAAAGTGGAGTTAATGATGTTATTAAAACCGTACGGTTAGATAATTCCAGATTGATGATTTGTATCATTGTTTTAAACCGTATTAATGGCTTTTAAAGTACTCCGAACAACAAAAGTTAAAAAAATAAATAAAAAAAAGAGTGAGTGAGAGAGAGAGAGAGAAGAACGAGAGAAAATGGAGTAGTAGTAGTACTAGTAGTAGAAGTGATAGGCACAAGTAGTACTGGAGCTATGGAAGTGTTGATAGAGAAAGCGATGAGTCGCAACTCTAAAAGGCCCTAGTAGTGATAGGTGTCCACTTTTGAATCATCGTAGGGATTCCTTATTACAGGAAAAACATTATGCACCGACTATCTTCCTCTGCAATATGCAGTTCAGTTTTAAATTTCTTGGGGTCCGTGTTTCAGTGTAATGTTTTGCTTGCGCTTTTAATGAGGGGTTGTTGGTTTTTCTAGCATGGTGCTAGCTGCTACCTAGCTCTCTGGCGCTGAATCTTCCGTTACGATATAGTCTTAGTTGGCATTTGATCTAATGGAAATATGTCTTCTTGTGAACATGATAAACGGTTGCATAATATATTTTTTATTGAGGGACAATTTTTTGGTTCATTTACTTATGATATCTCTTTTTTTCATATTTGAAAAAAATTTCACTATCTTTTAAAATAAAAAGCACATTGTAAAAGTTTGTTTAGATAAAAGATGTATCGAATTGGATATATGTAATACACTGAAGATTTGTCCTTTATTAAGAGAAATATTTTTATCATCAAACAAATTCACTGTTTATTTAATCATTATTGGATCATATAGAGAATGCTGAAAAAAAATTTAATAGAGAGAAAATGCTAATTTAATAATACTTAAATAGTGAATTGATAGTGAATTTTTTTTGTAGTAAGAATATTCTCCTTTATTTTATATATATATGTATATATATAGTAATATTATTTTTGTAATCGCTTTAATAGCAACGACAAGTATATGGTTATGATTTCTCACATTTAATACTTTCATCCTTTGTATAGTTATGATTCCCTGCATTTAATGCTTTCAATTATATATATGGCAACTATTTAATTACTGCACATACAACAGCAGAAATATAAATCTCTATATATATATATGGGATAGGATCCTTTGACACCGGTGTCAAATTTTTGAAATTTGACACCGGTGTCAAATTTTGAAATTTGACACCAAATCCCAACCGTTGATTTCCGCCAATCAACGATTATCATTTATTGGAATTAATAATTAATTAATAAGTGTAATTCCCAATAAATGATAACTGTTGATTGGCAAAAATCAACGGTTGAGATTTGGTGTCAAATTTCAAAATTTGACACCGGTGTCAAAGGATCCTGCCCCTATATATATATATGGGATAGGATCAACTTACACCGATGTAAGAATAATAAATCTTACACCAAATCTTAACCGTTGATTTCCGTGCATCTAACAGTTGAGATTTATTGGGAATTAAAAATTCATTAATGAGTGAGACCTAATAAATCTTAACCGTTAGATGTAAAAAAGTAATGGTTAAGATTTGGTGTAAGACTTATTATTCTTACACCGGTGTAAGATGATCCTGCCCCTATATATATATATATATATATATATATATGTATAATATTCAATGTCTCTCGTGTTATAGTAAATATAATTATTTCCTACACATATCAAAGTGTATAAAGTTCATTTTTTTTCTCTTATCTTCTTATGATCCCACACAATTTCATATGTATCTAGGAGATAAAATATCTTCCAAGAAGAGAAACATTAATCTCATATATTATAGATTTTATTTTTTTTCATATTATAAGAGATTTTATATATCTATACACACACAAAAATATATGACTTATATATATATATATACATATATATATATATATATATATATATCTTTTCTCCTTATACGAGCCCGCATGAACCACATATATTTTACTGTGTATATAAAAAATAAAATTTAACTCCTATAACTAACAAATATTATTCCCATAATATATATACACACCTTGGGTTCCTGTTTTTCTTTTATATATGAAAAAAGTGTATATCATTTTAAAAGATGTAAAGTTGTGTCATTTTAAGTAAGAGTAAGAGATAAATAAAAAAGGAGAGAGTGGACAAAAAAATATACACTTGAGTCATTTGAAAGTGAAATGATATAAATTGTATCATTTGAAAGGACAAATATTTTTCTCCTTATATATATATACAAACACCACCTTGGGTTCCTATGTTAATGCAATGGAAAGGACCTTTCTCTGTTACCACTTTTTATCACCCCGAGCTATCAGTTCTTTGAAAGCCAATCCCGATTTTCACCCTTTTCTGCAAAAGGGGTTTCAGGAAAAAAGAAACTTCTTTGAAACTGAGCTTGTCCTTTTGGTTGGATTTTTGAGCAACAAGCCACAACAAGAAACTCACGTGCCTCAGTTGAAATTGAAACAACTTAGAGAGAGAGAGGAAGGACTCATCATCCCATTTAAGCACTGGAAGAGTTTGGTCACACAGGGTGTGTGGTGTAGGGTATCCCTGCAATTGCAAGGACGTAAGGAGACTATGGCCATGCCATATCTCTGTCTTAGTAGCTTGTTTAATCACTCTCTAAGTGGATTGCTGGTAAAATGGATTGGAAGAGGACCAATGACACGTGTCTGATGAAAGAAAATCAGTGAAAATAATGTACGATAAGATGGATCATAGTATACATCCATCGAAAGCTTACAAAACCTCCCTTCACTGTCACACACCCTTTCAATTACTCTTGCCACATCCCTTCATTCCCCAGTTACACCCCTTGATTTTAATTTGAAAAGGTTATATCACAATTATATAAAATATTTTATATTAATCATACAATAAAAAAATTACCATATAAATATGAGTTTTCCTTAGTACTGTTCAAGGATCCTAATTAAGAAATTAAAGAAAAATATTAAAAATAAACTTTTTTAAAATTTTAATATATTAAATAATTTGTGTATATTAATATTTCAAATCTCTTTAACAAGTGTCGCGTATATATATTACCAAGACAAGTGCAAAGAGATAAAATTTGTTCGAAAAATATAGATGGTAGGTGTGGAGCCACTGCCACAGGAGTGTGCGGTGAGAATCCCCTTACAATTCTTAAAACTTTGCTGCTTTCATTATCTGCTTGGTGTATCCCAAAAAGATCCAAGCACTAGCTGTAATATAATAGATGTTTCACAATCTGGCACTCGTGTACTGCTTCATACAAGTTGTTGCAGGTTCGAAAGACTGCACCACAGTCATACCATGGTGCGCATAATGGGTGGAAAACAAAAAAATTTCACAGCGGAAGCATAGACCATCTATACACTCCATGTATGAATGCTTTTCGTTGAAACGAAATAGGGTTTCAGAATTACCTTTACACTTGTAGGCGCAAAAAGATGACGCCCTCCAATGGTGATCCACACGATTATCTCCTTCTTCTTGCAAACGAGAACTCTTTCTCCTTGATCCCTCCTTATCCTCGGTGGCTGGCTAGGCGCATGCAAGGAAGAGGCTACCAACTGTTTGGATTATTTTTCTCAAGACTATAAAGGTGTCTTGAGGTTAGGTGATGATGCAACAAGAGAGAGAATGAAAGGTTGGAGCTTTTTCTTTTTCGAATTCTTCACACACATAGGAGAGATGATGCATCAGGTTTCTATAAAAAAATTGATCAACCACATAAGCCCCTCCTATGATTAGGCGCACAAGTTAAAGTGATGAGAGAGACTTTTCTTGATTCTCTTCATCTCATTATGCGCCCCACATCAGCTCCCTTTAATTAGGCGCACACATTAAAAGGATGAGAGAGACTTTCCTTGATTCTCTCCCTTGATTAGGCGCCCCTCATCAGCCACCTTTAATTAGGCGCACATATTGAATGATGAGAGGGACGTTCCTTGATTCACTCCCTTTAATTATGCCCCCTTTAATACCTTTCCTTTCCTCAGAAA